TAAAAGAGAAATGACAGCATTTTCTTGGGTGGGTAACTGGTCTGGGAAACAGGTCCACTTTTGAATTTACAGTTGAATTAACTTTGTGGTGAGTGTGACACATTTTTTTTTAGCATCCTAAAACTCAAATAGCTATTGTGTGTGTGTGTGTGTGTGTGTGTGTGTGTGTACTAGTATTGACCCCAGTCCCTTTGCCGCTTTTGTTGGTTTAATTGTGTTTGTGACAGTCTCACTAAATCACTTAGATTAGGCCCAAATTCAGGGTTCTCCTGTCTCAGCCTCCCACCTTTCTGTTTACAGGTCTGGACCTCAAACTCACAGTCACCAAATAAATCCTAAACATACTCTAAAAGTCTAGCATCTTTAGGATTTGTCCAAAATTACTCCAACCCCTGTCCTGAGGACTAAGTCCACTTATTTATTTATACTTTGAGGCAGGTCTCCTTAAATTGTCCTTGGTGGTTGCTGGGCATGCTTTATAAGGGTCTGGCTTGCAGTTCAGCAGCTGACCACCTGTCATGTGTCCCACACTGCTTGGCACTGGTTCTAAAATCTTGGTTCTTACGACAACTTGGTTCGTATCCAGCAAACCTCCGTCCGTGAAAATACTCTTCCTTCACACAGTTCTGTACAGTTCTTTTATCTCCTCTCCAATTATTATGTATATGGTTTCTTTAGCAAGTAGACCACGACCTACTATCAATTTAGCTTTTTAATATTAGAGCTTTTTAGAATTTTAATTTTTAATTTATTTACTTTTTAAATTTTATTTATTTATTTATTGGTGTGTTTGTGGCCAGCTCAGCCCACCAGGGGGCAGGGCTGGCTGGCATGTGGTGCTGGGGGATTGAATCATGGTCCCTGTGCTTTGCTAAGCTTGTTCTAAGTACGTGCTTTAGACCACTGAGCCTCTCACCAGCCCAATTTTTTATTTTTTAATGTATTTGGCGGTACCGGGAATTGAACCGAGATCCTTGAGCTTGTAGGGTAGGCGCTTAGACGCTTAGACCACCGAGCTATGTCCTGACCCTCATCCTTCTCTGGGGAATAAACTCATGTCTTTCCTTTCTTGCATCTCACGTATTACCCAAGCTGCCATTACAAATTGGGAAGTCTGGAGCCAGGAGTTCCTGAGTCGAAGAGTGTATATTCCAGTGTACTTTTTCTTTTCTTTGTGACAGAATATTACTGTGTGGTTCAGGCTGGCGCTGAACTCACTATGTACCAGGCTGGCCTCGCCTCCCGAGTGTGTGTTTCTTTCCGGGGGCCAGGGTCCACGCCGACCTCGTGGAGTAAACAGGAAACCATCGATCTGTCGCAGGAAATGAGCTGGTGTGCGGGCTACGAAGGTGCCGCGGATTTTCCTCCTTTTCCTTCAGGTCCTTCTACGCTCACTTCCGCGTTTCAAACGCCAGTGTCCTTCCCTATAATAACAGAGTCCGCCGGGCTCTCCCCGGCCTCACCCTGGACTTCACCCCGGAGAGTGGCCAATAGGTCTTGCCCTTTAGTAGATACCGCAGGGCCTGGCGTTACGTCACTACCAACCTCAACCAATCATCAGCTGGGGTAGGCGGTACCAAAATAATCCTCACTTCCTCCCAAATGGCCACCCTCACCTGCGTCATCTCGTGATAGATTATCTACGTAGCCAATCAGTGAGCAGCGCTGGGCCCAACCCACCTCAAGCACAGCCAATTACAATGAAGGTGGAGGAATGGGGAGGAGAGTGGAAAACTTGCCCCTCTATCTGACGAGCCTTAAAGAGGTGCATGCGGAACCAGTGAAGTTGTAACTTTCTGTTAGCCGTCGTTGTACCCAACATCGACTATCTCGCGGGCCCAGCTCTGCCCCACCTCGACCCCACCCCAAGATGGGGCCCAAGGCTCATATTTCATCCCGCCAGCGTTTCAGGGGCACACCTCCCCATCCCTGAAGTTCTCTAGGGAAAGAACCCACGCGCAAAGCCGGCGCCCCGCAAGCCGCCGCCCCAGCCGTAGAGCGGGGACGGCGATGCTCGGTGCCCGCGCCGATCTTTCCATTCAGCGCGTCTTTCCTCCCTCCACGTTCCCAGCCCTAGCTGACACGGGGGTGGGAGGAGTCTCATCTTGCGCCGACCGGGAGAGGCCGAGGCTTCTTAAGGTAGAACAGCGGCCTGCGGGTCTCCCGCGCCCATCCTTGTCTCCGCAGGCTTCTGTCTCTGGTCCCAGAGCCTTCGTTCCAGTCTTTATTTTATTATTATTATTTTTAAGGGCATTAATCAGGTCGGGCAGAGGATATAAAATTAATGTAGAAAACTTAAAATAATAAAGTTATATAGCCAGGCATCATGACGCTTGTCTGCAGTCTGGGCTCTTGGAGGGCTGAAGCAGGAGGATCACCATGAGTGGGAGGCAAGCCTGAACTATGTAGCGAGATCTTGCATCAAAAAACCCGCAAACAACAACAAAACTAAAAAGCTATATAAATGGAATACAAATTGCAGAGAAATTATTTTTAAAGCTACTAGGGATTGAACCTACGGTTTTGCACTTTTTTTTTTTTGGTGCCAAGGACCGAACCCAGGGCTTCTAGCTTGCCAGGCAAGCATTCTACCGCTGAGCCAAATTCCCAGCCCCACTTTTTTTTTTTTTCTTTAAGGGAAAGGTCTACAGGGTGTTCAGGGTCTTACTACTAGATCCAGCTCGTAGTGATCCACCTGTTTACAGCCTCCCAAGAGCTGGGATTACAGGCACACGCCCCCACGCTCAGTCTCATGCACTTTAAATTTAACTCAAGTAGGGACTGGGGGAGATGGCTCAGTAGAATAAGTGCTTGCCTGGCAAGCTCAAACGTCTGAGTCCAAATCCCTGTTTCCACAAAAA